CACTCTTCGGGTTCTACTGCACGTCGCTGCTCAGCGTGACTACGAGCTACACTCTCTTGACTTTAGCACTGCTTTCCTGCAGGGCCGCCTGCACGAGGAGATCTGGCTGCGCCGCCCTCCTGGCTTCACTGGGTCTTTCCCTCCTGGTACCCAGTGGAGCCTCCGGCGGCCAGTCTACGGTCTCCGCCAGGCGCCGCGTGAGTGGCACGACACACTGAGGACTACACTTGCGGCTCTTGGGTTTGCTCCTTCTACTGCTGACCCGTCGCTGTTTCTGCGCACCGACACCTCGCCGCCGCCGTTCTACATCCTCGTGTACGTCGACGACTTGGTCTTTGCCACTGCGGACACTGCCGCACTCGCCCACGTGAAGTCCGAGCTGCAGAAGAGACACACGTGCACAGACCTGGGTGAACTGACAAGCTATCTTGGCTTGCGGATCACCCGGGACAGAGCACGCCGCACCATTACCCTGACTCAGTCACACATGGTGCAGCAGGTCCTTCAGCGCTTCGGCTTCACGTACTCCTCGCCTCAGTCCACTCCTCTGCCTACGGGACACTCGCTCTCAGCTCTGCCTTCGGATGAGTCCGTAGAGTCGAGTGGTCCGTATCCAGAGCTTGTGGGCTGCCTCATGTACCTGATGACTTGCACTCGACCTGACCTCGCATACCCTCTCAGCATCTTAGCACGCTATGTTGCTCCCGGCCGTCACCGGAAGGAGCACATGGATGCAGCTAAGAGGGTGTTGCGCTACTTGTGCAGTACGTCGGGCATGGGGCTAGTGCTTGGAGGGCGTGAGCGGCCTGTGCTCACTGGGCACTCAGACGCTTCTTGGGCTGACGACCAGGCTACTCAGAGGTCGTCTCAGGGTTACACCTTCAGTCTTGGCTCTGGCTCTATCTCTTGGCGCTCTACTCGCTCTTCTTCGGTTCTCAGCTCCAGCTGTGAGGCTGAGATCTACGCCACGGCCATGGCTGCACAGGAGCTTCGCTGGCTCACCTACCTGCTGACTGACCTTGGAGAGCGGCCTCGTTCTCCTCCAGTGCTGTACGTCGACAACAAGGCAACCATTGCCTTGTGTGAGGAGCACAGACTGGAGCACAGGACGAAGCACATTGCTCTGCGCTACTTCCTTGCTCGAGAGCTGCAGCAGCGTGGTCAGCTTCGCCTGCGTTTCGTGGCCACTGAGGCCAACACTGCTGATGTGTTCACCAAGGCACTTCCGCCTCATGACCATCAGCGCTTTTGCACTCTGCTAGGCCTTGTGCCCACTGGGCCTCACTTGCTTACCTCTTGACCTTGCTTGTACTGCTGCATATATATATCCTTGCTCTTGCTTGTTTAGCACTGTTATATATATATGCTCTGCTGTATGTGAATTGGCCTTGTGGCCTTGACCTTGTGCTCGGAATTTGTGTGGTATCCTTGAGATCCACCCTGAGCTTGCTTTGCTTTGCTTTGCTTTGCTTGACTGGTCTTGTGACCCCTTGCTCTCCCCCACTTTGCCTATGGGGGTGTGTCAGATGATTATATTACTGATGCATATATGTAGGCTGTAGTGGGGTAGCCCATAGGGGGTACAACCCAATTAGGGTTGGTACTTGTACTTGTTTCATTTCATAGTGCATTCATTCTCTCTCTAACCTCAACAACAAGGCGTTTATGGTTCTTTTTCAAAAAATGAAACATGTAATTCTAAATAGGTGTATATTTTCCACATGCAAAAAACAAAAAGTACAGCGTTGCAGTAATTACCAAAAGTAAAAGCCCCAAGGTCCTTTCGCGGAATGTGTTGTTTTTTTTTTTAATCGTTTTGCAAGTTCGCAATTATGCTATCAAAAATATGTTTTGAACCGTTTTTCGGTCCGTGGTAATAGAACAAACGGGGTCCTTCCAAGTCGCGGCGGGACTTGTTCAAGAAAGATAGAACTGTGCGTAAAAGCTTTCAAACTCGATAAATTCCTCTATTTCAGGATCATTTCAGCGGGAGTTTCATGTAGTTACCATTCGCGTGATCACTCGCCTGTGTTAAGTTACCATACGCGTTAAGCGAGTAACCAAACGTGTCAAGCGAGTTACCAAGCGCGTTAAGCGAGTTACCAAACGCGTTATAGTTCCCCGTGTAGGTTACCATTGACATATTTTCCCCATCTTTTAGGTGAATCCAGTCTCGTTGAACACATCCTCCATCGTCTCCATTATCACAGAAGACGTCCACGACTTTGTAACTTCGTCGTCGTGAATATCGCCACGTTGTTCGGCCAAGCCAGCACTTCGTCGGGCACCGCACATTTGTCGGCGGGCAGCTTGTCGAAAATGCCCGAAGCCCAGCGTTTATTTCCGGATCATTCCCTTCTGTAACGTGGTGCAGTGCCCTAGCTTTGGGGTGCCTATTTTGAGTAAACTTGTTTATCGATTGACCGAAAACAGGCCCACCGTCAATGCTCCCCCTTCTGCCGCCATGTCGGCCGGAGCAGAAACTGCTCGGCTGACCGACCAGCTGAATGCATCCCATTTCGAATGGTGGAGGGAGGGCAAGACACCCTATCCCATTCATGCCATGCCTCCCCAGCACTGGCTCCCCAGCTTCACAAAGAAGAACAAGACCAGGTCAAACTCTCGACTGATGTTCCGCAACGCTGTCCGCCCGACCCTTGCTGGCTGCCTGTAACGTCGTGCTGTAGAATGGCGACTCGAACCAGGGAGTTCTCCCTCGTGCGACGCAACGCGAGCGCCGCTCACTGCTGGTGTTGCTCGGCGCTGGGAGCGACGAAATTCTCGCTACTAATCGCCGCTCGTGAATCTTGGGCGCAGCGCAGAGCAATGGCAGTGCGGCGCGCTGAATATTGATCTTGCTTTCCATTGTAAACGAGACAGCCTGTAGAGGTCATCCGTAGTCGGAACGAGTTTTCAACCAATACTCCGTTCGGACCTTCGGAAACAAAATGCACTTCACTCCGTCCTGATTTTTCGATACTTTCTGATTGCTCCCACGGTTGAATCCATCACTCGCTGTAAGCAGCAGTCATAGTTCGCAGCTGGAGGGGAAAGAACAAGGTGTTCCGCACTGTCTACACGATTAACTCCGCTTCGCAATCATGGAAAGACGGGTTTTGATCGCCGCGGCTCTCGCAGCTCTCCTCTGTCTAGCGCCCTTCGCGCCGCGTGTTGCGGAGGCGGCAGTTGCGCGTCCGACAAAGGCGCAGCTGAAGGCGGAGCTGGGGAAGCTGGCGGACAGCGTGGCGAAGAAATACCCGCAGTACTCGAGTTACACGAAGACGGTCAAAAAATATATTGGTCTCGCGTGTAAGTGGCTTTGGTTCTGTCGGTGTACTAACAGAGTAACGCGTCACGAAGTATCGGATGCGCCCTAGACATACCCATGACACTTACACGAGCACCATCAAGAAACATATCGGCCTAGTGTAGTTACAGTTTATCGTTGCACTAAAAACGTGGAAACGCGGCGGTTCTCGGATTCAGGAGAGAGATCGGCCTCGAGTGCGAGTATCGTAATCTTTCTTGTATTCAAAGAGTAGCGCTTTGTCTCCCCTTGTTGCTTTACTTCCCATCACACCATAGTCAGCACCCACCCCAATCTCCCTTCCCCCCTACACCAACCCCATCCCCCCTAATCATTTCCCAGTAAATTCCAAGTATGACCTATCAGCGCTCGCTAACGCGACCATCCTCATCCCCACTAACACCGAGGCTGAAGCCCTCCTTAAGAAGCTCCCCTTTAAGGCGGCCAACATCCCTAAAATCTACAACATCACCGCTTTCCACATCTTACGCATAAAACGCTTTCTGCCGCAGTTCAAAGCGCTGAAGCCAGGGCAGGCCGTGGGTACTCAATTGAAGCAGGCTCTTTACAAGATGAATCCGTTAAATGGAGCAAGAGTGTCTTTTGGGAAGGCGAGAACTGCACCAGCAGCTGCATGGACTACGATTCTGACTCCAAGGATTTATACTGGGCCGTATTTTGTCGCGCATGGCGTGAACAAAATATTGATCCCGTCTGGCACCAGGGTGTGATGTGTTTGTAAGGCAGGAAGTTGTGAGTCAGGACGTAACGCAGTAAGCCGTGACGTGCTATTGTGTAACAAGGTGTAGAGAGCGAGGTAGATAAAGCTAGGACCGTATCATAGGTTGCCATTGATATAATAAAAGCAGGTAGTGCCCGTGAGGTATTTCGGTAGTGATATGCATGGGAGGGACATGTTTAGTACATGGAGGGCTGCTTACTGAGCAACCTCTATGCCTAGTTCTATCATTTTCTGCTTGTACCTTCCCTTGTACACCGGTAGTTGCCTACAGCTGCTCTCGTGAACTATCTGATCATGTTTGCATGCCGCTGTAAGAGATACCGGTAGTCATGTGCCATATTGTTTGTGTGTCAGGCCCGCAGTTGCAGCCAGACGTCGACTGCTTTTAGATCTGGTCTGGATACAAAAATCTTGCATGCACTTGACCATGGTTTAACCAGCCAGAGTAGAAACCTCGGCCTCAGTGAACATTAAATTTCATGATTCTGTATCTCCCACCTCTACTCTAGCCATCCCGCTTTCCATCTCTGCTCTCTCAATACGATCCAACGGTACACGGGGATTCTTCTGAGCCTCAGCAGCAATCTCCCCTATCTCTTGCCCCCTCGCCCACCAAATAATCGGCTCATCAATGCGAATAATCTGCGAGCAAAACGCAGGAGGCTGCTGTTCTTGCACTACACTAGCCGTCTCGTTACTATCCCCACTCTCTATAGTCACGTTTATTTTCGCCCGCTGCACATAGCCCTGAAAATGGTTGAGTTTTGCTACAGTGGTGTCGAGATCAAATCCGTATGAGTCGTTAAGCACTGGGCGGTGGATCTGCAGCGCTGTGACCTTCCGCGGGTTGATGGCGTATTTGCGGTGCCCGTAATAATCCAAACACATCTCAGACCTGATGGACGAGCAGTGCAGTGGATACAGAGGGATGGGGAAGGGCGAGCATGGGTGTTAGGAGTCGAATCGTAAGACGTATTCGAGGTTGATCGCGTACTTGCGATGCCCGTAGTAATCCAGGCACATCTCAGATCTGGTTGAAATGGAGTGTGGGGAGTTCAGAGGGGTGAAGAAGGGCGAGTATGGGTGTGCACATTGCTAAGGGTTGATGGTGTACTTGCGGTGACCATAGTAATCCAAGCACATCTCAGCCCTGGTTGTTGGGGGATTTACAATAGGAGACTGAATGGAAAGTGCAAGTCTTCAGAGTGAATTCTATATGGCCCAACCCTCTCTAGACGAGCGCCCCACCCTCTCTCATCAGCCTCTCCTGGAGCCCTTTTACAACCAACGTGCTTCATTCACATTCCTATGTAACATGGTGACACACACACACCCTGGGGAAGAGCTCGGGTTTGAGGCAGTAGATGTGAGGCCAGTGGTAGAACATGCGATGAATGCCCCACGTGCAGTTGGCCCCTGCTGCTCCCCTGCACCATTAATGTGCTCCACCGGCACACCTGTATAGTACCCCACCCACCTGTACCATGGTCACACCCATCTGTACCGCAGTCACACCTGGGGAAGAGCTCGGGTTTGAGGCAGTAGATGTGCGGCCAGTGGTAGAACATGCGCTGAATGCCCCACGTGCCCTTGGCCTCTGATGGGTCTACGCACCTGGTGAGTTGCATGGGAGAAGGCATGGGAGGGGGCATGGGCGGGGGCATGGAGTGGGGATGAGAGGGGGGAATGGGCATGGGAGGAGGCATGCACAGAGGCTTACAACGCCCCCACCACAATGCACTCACCTCTTGGTGTCCCACCACTGGGTGCCAAGAGACAGGTACGACGCGCCATCATACGATTCGAGCATGAGCGGAATGGGAGGAGGCATGCGAAGAAGGGTACAGCGCCCCCACACAAGACCCTCTCTCACCTCTCAGTGTCCCACCACAGGGTGCCAAGAGACAGGTACGACGCGCCATCATGTTGTAATTTCATATTTCATACAACATACATAGGCTAGAAGTGTAGCACATTTATAAATTGGGGGGTTGCTTAGTGTACCCTCCAACCACATTTTGTGGTTGGTTGGGATTGGTCCTTAGCTCAACCAATCCCAACCAACACACATTTGTGGTTGCTTGGGTCACAAGCAAGCTCACCCATTGGCCAACTTATTGGCCAATAGGGTAAGCTTCCCTCTCATCTCTCTCTTGCTCATTGTTTGCACTAAAGAGCCTCTTGGCTCATTATTCAATGTATCATTTCTCTCTCTACTAACATGGTATCATGAGCTAATGGCTCACGCCTACCTCCCTCGGTCCTTAGGCCACCCTCTCCTCCCCGTTCCTCAGATCTAGCCCCACCCACGGAGCTGCCCTCCCTTCACGCGCCCTTTAGGCGCTGTCCTCCCTCCCCGTGCGCCCCCTAAGGCGCTGCCCTCCAAGGCACGTCCAGATCTGCAACTCCAGCGCCCAGATCTGCACTCCCCGCGCTCAGATCTGCAACTCCAGCGCCCAGATCTGCAACTCCAGCGCCCAGATCTGCACTCCCCGCACTCAGATCTGCAACTCCAGCGCCCAGATCTGCACTCCCTGCGACCAGATCTACTCCTCCCGCGCCTAGATCTGATCATTCCGCGCCACCAGATCTCCTCCTCCCGCGCCCAGATCTGAACATTTCGCACCCAGATCTGCACTCCGCGCGCCCAGATCTGCACTCCGCCCGCCCAGATCCGCCCTCCGCACGCTCAGATCTGCCCTCCGCGCGACCAGATCTGCACTCCGCGCGACCAGATCTGCACTCCGCGTGACCAGATCTGCACTCCGCGCGACCAGATCTGCACTCCGCGCGACCAGATCTGCACTCCGCGCGACCACATCTGCACTTCGCGCGCCCAGATCTGCCCTCCGCCCAGATCTGCACTCCGCGCAACCAGATCTGCACTCCGCGCGACCAGATCTGCCCTCCGCGCGACCAGATCTGCCCTCCGCGCGACCAGATCTGCCCTCCGCGCGACCAGATCTGCCCTCCGCGCGACCAGATCTGCATCTCCCGCGCTGAAATCTGACCATTTCGCGCCCATCTCTGCACGTCCCGCTCGTTTGCCGCGGGCTGTCCCGCGTGCATTCGCCACGGGCTTCCCAGTCGCGCGGATCTGCCGCACGGCTGCCCTCTTCGTCCCCTCCCCCCCCCCTCTCTCCCTTCCTCCTCCCATTGTACCCGCAGCAGCACCACCAGCAGCACCCTCCCCCCTTTCCTCCCCCATAGCATCGCCCTCCTCCTCCTCCACCCAACCCACCCTCCGCTCCTCCCTTCCTCCTCCCATCCTACCCGCAGCAGCATCGGCAGCGGCACCAGCTGCAGAACCAGCAGCGGCACGGGCAGCAGGGCCAGCAGCAGCATTGGCAACGGTACCCTCGCACCATCCTCCTCCTGCCCTAGCCTCTACCCACCCTCATCTCTATGGCATCGTCGTCCGATTCTTCCGTCGACCTTGCCACTGTTGACGCACTCGAGTTGCTGCCTGACAACTCTGCTGCTAAGGGCGCTTCACCTGAGGGGCGGAAGGCCAAAATCCGAACCGACGTATCAGTTTGACTGTACGAACAGTATCCCAAATGAGTTCGAACACAAATACGTACAATGAGCGAATGTGACACAGGCCATCACAGGTGACGCCATCGCTATTCGCACACGCGGTCTGTTCGAACACAGCGACGTCGCCCACAAAAGAGCGACGTCGCCAAACATTGGGTCCCTCGCATGTGTGTTTTCTCGCAAACGTTCATGGGCGACCCGGAAGACTGTGGACCAATCATATCAGTCGTTTGTGCGGAATTGTGTGTCACCTATCCCAACCTGTTCGAACAAACGTGTTCGAACGTGCGGGATGATGAAAATCGTGCTTGAGGTGACAGCTCTGTTCAAATTGGCGAAATTGTGCTTCGCGACGTCACGATCACCACTACGAACATAGGCGAAACGAGTAACGTTTCGCCTGTTCGAACGACTGTGTTGTTCGAACCGACAGGTGAAGCGCCCTAATTGGCACTCTTATGCTCATTCCGTTGAGGTGCTCCTCTCCTCTGTTGTGGTCAGCGGCTACAACCTTCGCTCGGTTGTCTTTCAGGAAGGCAGTGGACTTCAGCCCGTGGCCCCCACCGCTCCTACTGGACCTGCCCCCGCCCACCCTGGCGCCGAGCCCTCTCCCCCCGGTGATCCTCCCACCTTCGCGCCGAATGTCAACGACCCGCAGAGCTCGGAAACCGCCATTCGCACCTACCGCACCAATCTCCAAGAGCACCTGCGCCTGCAATTGCGTTACGAGGACGACAGGCGCATCTATGACGAGGCCGCTGCCCGCTACAACACGTACCAGGAGGACCTGGACACCTACACTGCAGAACTTGCAGACTACACCACGAAAATTAATGCCTGGCGGGTTGCTGATCGGCGTGCGCTTGCCATTCTTCTCGCCACCATCCCCTCCTCCCTCAAACGTGAGCCCTCACCTACCTCCTCCTCCCACCTGTGGCGAATGCTAGTCGACCTTTTCGATCGGCAGGACGTTGCCACTCTTTACGCCCTTATCAAGGAGTTTGGAACTCTCTCCATGGATTCCACTTCTGGCGCACCTGCTTTCACTCGCCGTGTCTTAGACCTTGCTCGGCGCCTTGCAACACTCGATGTGGTGTACCCGGACACCGTCATCTGCTGCCACCTCCTCGAGGGCCTCACACCTGCCTTCGACGCTCACAAGCTTGCTTACATGCAGCTTATCTCCAAGCACCACACCCCTGCCGAAGTCGCTCAGTGGATTATCACCACCGAAGCTGAGATCCTTCGCCACTCTTCCTCCACAGCCGCAGCAGCCCAGTCGCGCAGCAGCCGGGGTGGACGTGGCGGTGGGCGTGGGGGTGGGCGTGGTGGTGGGCGTGGGGGTGGACGAGGGGGATCAGCAGGTCGCGGTGGTGCTGGCAGCAGTGGTGCGGGTCGTGGTACGGCAGCTGCCTTTCCTCCCTGTCAGTACCTGCCTCGCTACGGTCCCACTCAGAGACAGCGCTGCGGCCAAACCACCCATGCCACTGAGACGTGCTTCAAGGCACTCAGTGATGAGTGGTTTGCCCGTGGCAACACCGGCACCCCTCCTCGCTGGTCTGCCCTCAACCCTCGCCCCACTCCCCTTGAGGTCCGTTCCTCTCCCCTTTATGAACCTCCCTCCTCCACCCACGCCCACCAGGCCCTCGCCCCTCCCCAGCAGCAGCACCACCAGCAGCAACAGCAGCAGCAGCTTGGGAATCAGCAGCAGGGGTCACAGCAGTATGGGCAACAGCTTCTCCTCTCTCAGCTCCAGCAGCAGCTCCAGCATCACCAGCAGCAGCTCGACCTCCAGCCGCAACTGCCCCTCCTCCCTCCTCCGGTTTCCCAGCAGCAGCCCTTTCCTACCTGGACTGCTGGGAGTGCTGCCTCTGCAGCCCATCTCTCGGGTGCGTCCCCGGCGCCGTCTGCAGGTGGCAGTGTGACCGCTTTCCCTTCCTCTGGTTTTGTTGGTTTATTAGGTCAACCTGAATCTATTGCATCTCCCATGTACCCTTCTTCTGCTAATGAAACTTCGTTCCAGTACTCTGCCTCACCTTCCTCCACCATTGACTTCGTTCTGGATAGTGGAGCCACTGACACTGTCCTTCGCGACGCTGGTACACTGCGCCCTCTCCCCACACCAACCTCCCTCCTCGGCGCTGATAGCAGTTTTTCCATCCCTTGTCACAACACCTCCACCCTTCCCTGTCCTCTCTTTCCCTCAGGTACTGTCACCGGTCTCCACATTCCCTCCCTTCGTACTAACCTCCTCTCCCAAAGGTCCCTCCAACAAGCCATGATCACCACTCTCATCCCAGGTGGTGCTAACCATTGTGACCTATACCAAACCTCCACAGGTCGTTTTCTCGCCCGTATTCCCTATTGTCCTCGCTCCCGTCTGTACACCCTTCAGGTTCCCCGCCCCCTCACCTTCCAAGTTGCCTCCCCCCCCCTCCTTCCCCCCCCCCCCTCCCCTCCCTCCCACTAACCCACCCCTCCCCCCCCGCCCTCCTGACTCTGACTGTTCCTGTCGCTCCCTCTCCCACCCCACCATCCTCCTCCATCATAGGCTAGGCCACCCCAACTTCGCTACTCTGCGCTCCTCTGTCTCCTCCGGTCTCCTCCACGGTCTCCCCTCCTCCCTCCCTCCCCTCCCCAAATCCCCTGCCCCCCCCTGCACCGTCTGCGTTCAGAGCAAGCTCAAGCAGCAGCCGCACCGGAGCTCCCCCTCCGCTGCTACGCAACCACTTGATCTTGTTCACATGGACCTATGGGGCCCTAATCCCTCTCCCACTCGCCAGGGCCATCGATACCTTCTCGTGCTTGTTGATGATCACAGTCGGTACTCGTCCGTCTCTCTCCTTCGGACGAAGGCGGATGCCCCGGCTGCGATCATCGCCTGGCTCGAGCGGGCAAACACCCATTTTGGGCGCCCTGTTCGCCGCCTTCACTCTGATGGAGGTGGTGAGTTCCTTAACAACCAAGTCTCCTCCTATTGTCACTCTCGTGGCATCCTTTAGACTTACACCCTCCCTCACTCCCCACAGCAGAACGGCGTGGCTGAGAGTCGTGTTCGAGAGATCACCAAAACAGCCCGGTGTCTGCTTGTCCACGCCTCCTGCCCCCCTTCTCTTTGGGGCTACGCCCTCCTTCATGCCGCCCTCTTTACTAACCTTTACCCTCACCCCCTTCTCCCCTCCATCACCCCCACTTAGCTGTGGACGAAGGACAAGCCTGATGCCTCATCACTTCGTGTCTGGGGCTCTAAGGCACATGTCCTCATTCACC